CAAAAGGACTGAACAATGAGACAATGGAGGCAAAAAATGTGGAACAGTGTTTCAGAAATTTTGTATTGAATAATACATTTGGTTCCCATGAAGGCTGGGGGAGGAAGGGACTTTCACTATTTCTGCTTTACAGAACTGCTGAGAGCCAGGACTGAAGCCCAGGTCCAGCTGGGCAGGCAGGGCATTGCCGACCATGGTGCTCAGCCACCTCGGGGATGGGGCCGGGTCAGCCACAGTGAGGCAGGAAATCGTGCCAGGGTGTTGTACTTTGCAGTACCTGGACCCAGATAGCTGTCGTCGTCATTGCTCTGCCCCTGTGCACAAGTAACCTGTGGCTCCCTGGTTGCTGTGGCTTCATGCTGAGTCGACATCACCCCTGGTTCTTTAAAATGTGCCATTCACACTCGGACACTCCCCAACCACTCTGCTTCCCAGATCTCTGCCAAGACTTTGATGAATGGAAATGCACAATTGGGCCCAAGCCTACATCCTCGTGTGGTCCACAGGGACGAGCATTCTGAACACCTGTCCCCCGCGTTAGGAGTCCAGTGAGGCAAACATGAGACTTAACACCAGGATGTAGTTAAACCAGAGCTGGGATGGCTGAGAGGTCAAACGGGGCAAGGAGAAGCAGCCCAGAGCTCTAAGCAACAGCAAGGCCATTACCCACCAGCCTGGAAACACAAAGGAAGGAGCCATTGTCGCTGGCGTCAGAGTCAGGGGCCATCCTGGGAAAGCCGGCCCACTGGCTGGCTGGTGGCCCCTCCGGGCCTCCTGGACCTGAAGTTCTCTGGCTTTCTCAGGCAGGTGGGGGCTAATTCCTCCCCCAACCGCCTTCCCCTAGGTCTTGGTGGCTGTGCTTCCCCGAGTGGGCTCTGACTGGCTAGCAACCCGTCCCTCTGTCCCAGGGCTCCTTCCTCTGCATGAGAATAAGGCTCGCCAGGGCTGGCCCCTCTCTGAGGTGCACAGGTCCCAGGCCATGGGCAGCCCGTGGGGAGTCTGCAGCCAGGGAGAGCTCAGATCTCCGAGGGAGGGGCTGCTCTGGCTTCTGCATCACCAGCGCCTTAGAGTCACATTTGCTGTCCCTGGAATCCTGGCCCTGTCCTGCTCAGAGACACAGGACCTGACCCCTGCCTCCACTTCCACATTTGGGGACACCTCTGTGGAGTAGGAGAATGTCTAGCCTTTCTCCTCTGATGGTGTCCAAAGGGAACCATCTCCATCCGGGGCTTTCCCATCTCCAGCACTGGGAGGCACTTCTTCCAGACGGCCCCTTCTAATCAGGCTGGTGTCTCTGGCCCAGCAATGGGCCCCATGCCCTGGTCTGCTCCTGTTCCCAAGTTCAGTACAAGCCTTACCAAGGTGAGTGTGGGTTTGTGCGTCTGCCAGTGCCTGCACACCTCAGTTCCTTTAGAACAGGGGTGGCAGATTTTTCCCACAACCAGCTGGGTGTCGCAGGTCATGTGGCCTCTTTGGCAGCTACTCAGCCCTGCCACTGTGGTGTGAAAGTAGCCACAGATGCTGTGCCACAAATGGGCCAATGTTTACAGACCCGATCTCACCCACTCCCACCCACTTAGAATCAGGGAACTGAGGGCGGGCCCCCAGTGGAGATTTCAGTTCTCAGAAAATCAGGGATAATTTATTTCCATACTGACAACCTGAGTCTTAGCACCACACCTAAATTTTTGGCATTTGAGATCAAATTTCTAATACAACGCTGGATATAAAATATTAAATATTTAATGAAGAGAAGAGGGTATCTGCCAAAGAACTGTTTTTATCTGGAGCACCAAAAAGTGATTTCCTCATAGTTCATATAATTAATGTCTCACGGCCTGGGAGAATGCCCGGTGGGTGGGGATGTCCACTGCCGCCAGCGCTGGCCCCCTCGTAGGGCGGCTCTCTGTTACTGAGGTCTCCTTCTGTGCTTCTGGGGAGGTCTAGGGCTCTGTGGAAAGGGATCGGTGGTCTGTTCGCCTAATTTAAAAATGTACCATGATGAAGAATCATTAATTTATCTGATTGCAGTCCTCCAGCCTCCAGCGCGCCTCTTCGGATGTTTTCCTTTTTCCAGTTCCTCCTGTTTGGAGGGACTGCGAGCCTGGCCATCTGAGGAGAGCACGCATGTTGTGAGTCTGTGCACCTCCAACTCGGCACGTGGGAGCGGACTTACACACACAGACACACACACACACACACACGCACCAGCCCTGGGTACGTGATACCAGCTGTCTCTTA